ATGATCATTCAGAATTCTAGTTTGTTTGGATGCCACATATAACCAGTTCCAAGCTTTGTATTTCAATGTCTATGCAAATGGGTTTTGTCATGAATCTGCTCTTCACCCATTTCCTCTTTGTGTACGGAAGTTGCTTAGTGCAAGATGAGTATAGTCAGTAGGTTCTTATTACTTGAATTTGGGATTCAGTCTATTTTAGGGTGTAAGATCAATGGTGCACGGATAATTTCTACAATAGTTTGAGACAGCGATCTCCAAGTTGACGAACCTGAAACAACAATAGTTTGAGATAGCTATCTCCTTGACGAGCCTGAAACAACAGGGTTAGAAAAAGGGGGCCAGGTGAACACCCGGCTTATCCCTCCGAAGCTTAAGTCAGTCTAAGGTCGAAGGGTTTAACTCAATGAACAATTTTTTTCTGGTTCAAGTTTGCGTACTTTTGTCCATTTTTCTGTGGAGTATTTATACCTGAATTAACAATGATTGCCAAAGGTCTCCAGTCCCATCTGGACATCTAACATCTGACATACCATTTCTCGAGCAATGAGTGTTTTCTACTCACGTCTCCTCCTATTAAATGCTAGGACGATGGGATGAGCGCTCGGCTAAATGCCGAACATTTATGCCCTTCCCCGAGTACCCAAATCTCTCAGATCGGCATCTGACATAAACTGAGCATTGAATATTCGAGGGAACAGTTCCTCGGGGGGTGCCGATCGCGTTGTCTCGGCGCATCAGCCATTAATACTTAGCCATCATAATAGTAGGCCTAGACTCCCAGAGTGAAGGTGCTTGTAGGCGCGCATTTATTTGTCTTGTTACCATCACTCACTCTGCCATAAATGAGGGGTCACGTCGTATTAAATATGATGCTAACAGTCGTACTCGGTTGCTCCGGGTCACCATACCTCGGTTTACCTCCTCGGCACCCTTTGGACGTCCCAACAGTTTCATTACTCCACGTGTCAACCTGGGGCTGTAAAGTCACCTAGAGTCCTGCCAAATGGGATGGAATAGTCCCTACAACTTTTCAACAAAACACTTGCTACGGTGATTTCTTGCTTTTTNAACCTGGGGCTGTAAAGCCACCTAGAGTCCTGCCAAATGGGATGAAATAGTCCCTACAACTTTTCAACAAAACACTTGCTACGGTGATTTCTTGCTTTTTCGTTTACTGGGAAACCATCATGATACTACTTAGTTACCTTAGTTGCAATGCTAAAATGCCAATTTAAGCTCAGTTAGCTATCTTATAAATGTCTGCTATATTCATTACTCAACGGGAAGATCATGTGCCTTAAATGTGATGGAGATTGCTTGAAAAAGATATTGATGCTGACATCAGCTTCTATCTAGTGCCAGACTGCCAATCTATCTCTTGCTGTAAATTTTCCTTTGAAATTTTTTTTGGGGGATGCTTGTGTGCGACAATCTGCACATTATATTTTTTGGCCTGAGTTATTGCTCTGTAAGTAATTCTTTTAACTCTAATATGGTGCACGCTTCTGTCGGCAAGGTGGAAAAAATTGAATTTCAGATGGAGTGGAGGTATTTCGTACATTATCATGTAAGTATTATTTTTGTTTAATGTATAATTGTATATATCTCAAATCAATATATGATTGTAGAGTTAAGCAGTTTATTGGTTCTATAATTCCTCCAAGTCTTTACAATCATTCAAGTGGTTGCATTAATAGAATTTCCTGACTTTTTGGGTTTCTGTAACTACATAAATTCCTAGGGGAGAGTGCTTTAATGGCATGTTCCTTTTGTTTTGCAGGGGTGGAACAGAAAGTGAGTACATCTTGTGCATTATGTTCTTTTTGTGACAACTTCCTGGGTTCCAACATATAATTGCTATAAGAAGGGAAGGGGTATTAGACTGAAAATTTTATTTATTGATTAAGTTACCACAACAGATATTATGATTCCATCACGTTTGGATTCTGCATTGGATGCTTTCTTTGAACTCTTTCCAGTACTCTTTAGGCAGTATACTATTTACAACTTAATTGTTTGAGATTATGGTGATGATATTATTTATATGATTTGTTAAAGGGAGGATATTTTAATACTAGTATAATTTGGTTAGAGGGAAGGGAGGCTGGGAGGTCTAACTTGAGAATTAAGAGCTTCACAGGAGGGGAGGTGTACTTTTCCTTTTTTTTGATGTCTTACTATGTTGGTTGCAATCTTCAGGAAGTTTAACTTCTTCATCATTATCATTAACAGTTGGGATGAATGGGTAAGCATTGATCGTCTGATGAAACACACTGAAGAAAATGTGCAAAAACAGCAGGAGCTCAACAAAAGGCAAGACATAGAGAAGAATACAAAGCTTGGTCGTGCATCACAGCCTAAACCAAAAACTTCTGCTGGTTAGATCTTTTGATGTTGAATACAACTATTCTCACTTGGTTTTAGTTTTTGTTTTGTTTGGCGTGTCGNCATCACAGCCTAAACCAAAAACTTCTGCTGGTTAGATCTTTTGATGTTGAATACAACTATTCTCACTTGGTTTTAGTTTTTGTTTTGTTTGGCGTGTCGGGGGTGGGATGTTTCCTAGGCTTATAATTATTTAGAAACTGAAAAATAAAAGGATCATAATATTTTAGAATTGGAAATTTTAGCCTATCATTCTATAACCATGATGTCTAGTCTACAATAGAGCATTATCAAGGTAGAGACCATGTAGTTTATGCTAGCACAGAGTAATTATTGTTTGTGGACAAGTTTTCAGTAACTTTTAGTGCATTGTATTGTAGGTGATGACAGACCAAACAAGAATTTTGATTTTCTTTTGTTTCTACTTCACTGAGGATTCAAGTATACAAGAAAACAGCCTCAATATTTCCCAACCTTACATCTTCTGCATGATTTGACAGTTATATAACATCTAATTGTAGCTTTGTCATTTTCCTATTGATTGATGGAGCATTTCCGTTGCATAATGTATCACTTGCAAAATCGGGTTTTGTTTACTACATTTATGGAGGTTATTCCTTAATTAACAATCTATGCTACTGTGGAACACTCGTTGCAGTTTCAAGAGGCAAGAAGCGAAAGAACGATTCTGTTCTTAAGGTACAGCTTTGGCTTATCATTATTAAAAAGTACTTCCAGAGTACAGGAGTTTTGGAAAAACATATGTGATTGGAGTGTAAATATTGTAGAAATTCTCACAGCCAGACTTTTATCTATGTATGTTGTTCTTGAAGGAATTTGCATTGCCACCTTTTTCTTTCTTTGTGTCGGGATTGCCACCTATTAGGCTGTTCACTTCCCTTGTATTTCCAGAGGTGGTGGTTGTTTTTTTTTAAGATGCAAGAGGCTATAGATTATTGCCTGTGGATGTAACTGATTATGGTGATTTATTCACTTGTCGAACTGCACAAGAATCCTTCTCACGCATTTAAAACCTTTGCATGAGGATTTAGATTGTCTTTTCAAGATTGGCACCAAATAAATCTTACTTCTGTTATACTTTCCAGAAATCTTACATCTGTTGTGTGCTAAACTTGTTTTTGCATTGGAGCAAAATATATGAAGACTAGGAGTTACCATATTCACATAGTGAAGCTGGCTTTTTGAAGAGAGATTTTGTGTTATGTCTTTCTAAACATATATGTGTACTTTTTGAGTTGTTTGGGACCTTTGGGTTAAAACGTGCTCACTGGTTATTGCTTCTGTGCTTCTGCACATTGTTGGTCTTTTTGATATGCTGGAGCTTTAGATCGAATTTAGGCATCATGTATATTTTTCAAAATAAGATCGTATGGTATCATGCTTTAGGAGATCTTGTTTCTGCTGAAGTACCATGTTTGATATATAAATTTTGGTTATTGGTAGCTACTTGCTATAGTACAGCCACATTAATGTCAACTCAATGGTTACGTTCTTCTGAATGCAGAAATGCTAACATATATCATGCAGCAGGTTTTTTTGTCCCATCCATGTTAAGTTGTGTCCTCTTGCTTACTAGTCCGATTCTCTGATTCGGATTGATGATTCTCTCTCTCTCGGCCCCCCCCCCTCGCTCTCTCTGTCCTCCCTTACCTGAGACTTGTGCATTAAGTTTATGGCTGGAATTTGTTAGGAGAAAGGCAAGACACCATTGGAAAAGCTCGTGAACATCCAAATTCCGCCAACCTTAAAGAAACAACTGGTTGATGATTGTGAATTCATAACTCATTTGGGCAAGGTAATATTTTTCACACCTTGCAAACTTCTCTATTTTCTCTGCAAGTTGTGTATTGCCTGAAAATACTTGTTGAAATGGAATTGCAAGGTCTTTTTGAAGTATTTCTTTTGAAAACTTTGATCTTTCTGTGTTCAATGTTTCCTCTATCAAACTAAATATTAATCAAAATATAACTTGACATTATTGGATGCTAGGAAAGTGTTTGTTCCTCGTTGAGGGTTACATGGAAGTAGCCTGGTGTTCTGACAGACCTCTAAGAGATATACTCCTATATTATCAATTGTGTTCTGGATTCTTGGGGTTGATGTTCTTTTTGAAATATGTAGAAAAGGGTATGCCACAGATGCTTGGTTTCCTTTTGTAGAGAACATTGTTAGCTCTATTTTCCATTAGTTCTTACCTGTCAAGGGCATCGATGTCTACCAACTATAAACTCTACACATGTTTCAATACTGTGAAACTATTGGCAGTCTGTCAGTTTTTACGCTAATGATTCAGTGTTGTCAGGCATTAAATCTGCTCCTGTGAAATGTGTATCTTCAACATTAGAGCCAACATCACAAACTTTTCAATCAACCCACTGTCACCACATTTGTCCACTTTGAATGCATCTGAACAAAAAGTTTTTTATACCTCCAGTGTTCAACGTTCACAATGCTGTTCCTTAAATTCATATGGATCTCAAACATCATATTTGGTGATAGACATTGTTTTAAAAACCTAGTGTTGCTACTGAGTAACGATGCAACACATAATGGACTTAAAAGTGATGGAAACAGAAATTGGAGAGCTAATCATTTTGGGATTCTCATTCCTTCAAGTTAAATATATGCTAATCATAAAGTTTATTCTATCATCTCTGTGATTTTGACTAGCTGAATAAACTTATCTTATTTTGGAATAGACTACTTCAAAATGCACATGTATAACATGCCTTAGCAATTTGAAAGGATTTGGTAACTCAATGACAATTATGACCCCACCAGCCTCAGGTTTTAGCAAGCAGTTGAAATAGCACTTAATTGAATCATGTGTGGATGTACCATTTGGATATTCTACCCATTATGGAGCACTTTTAAAGCTTTTTCCTCAATTGTATCATTGATGAATCATGAATCATGTTTTATATGCCACTATGGTTCCTGGAATATATCTCATTCTTATTGAAGTATCTCAAGAGTGGTATTGATTTGTAATTGTCGGTGCGATAGACATTCAAAGGGCTATGTTTTGAAGAAGTGAAACTTCTAATAATTTTGAACCAATTTTTGGCATACCAGCCTTTAAAATGTTCGTGATATGTAGTAAAGTGCTCTGCAGTATTGCCTATTTTGATATTAGAGTCCTGGTGTGATAAAACTTTGTTGATTTGAGTTGAGTTTTGATATTAGAATCCTAGAATAATTACTGTGTATATAGTAGCCATATAATGTGGTTATTGAAACCTGTTTGTTTTTCATGGGTGAGATTTCTGTATGGATTTTAGAACATGGATGAAGTTTTCATGGTAGGCCTGCTGACTTCCTAATTAAGATTGTATGGCCTTATATGGGAGTTAAATGCAGGTGAAACATAAGAAAGTCAGCAATGCTGGTGTTACAGATGCACGTCAGCTTCTGTTTAGCTTTGTTTCCCCTTTTGCCTCGATGTCTACTGGTTCTCAGTTTTTGTAGTGTAGAGGACTAAGAAATTTTGCTTTTATGTTGTATTTAATATTTTTTTGGCCATTTCTGGTGTATTGATCTGTATCTAGTCTTCGGATTTCATTACTTGATCCTTTCTTGCAGCTTGTCAAACTTCCCCGTACTCCAAATGTTGTTGAAATATTGAATAAGTATCACGATTACCGGATGAAGAAGGATGAAATGTAAGTTCATGTTCCACTGATTCTGCCATTGGCTCAACTGGATTTTTGGCTGCTCGGGCATGCTATTTCTTTTTGGTATCATTTGTTTTAATGCCAACTGTAGCATTACGAAAATGCCACTTTTTAAGAATATTCTTTGAGGTCATGACTTCTTATGCTAAGAGTTGTATATGACCAAGAAATGTAAACTGCAGCTTTACTTGGATGAAGTGGCATTTCTGGACTAGAGTTTGTTCTTTTGAACATTTTGGAGATTTTTTTTTCGAATTTTGCGTGCAGAAGGTAATTGATCCACTGCAAATGAGCTAGTGTTGACTCTTCTATTGGTTGAATGGTTGCCTTTTTGTTTTGTACCTTTACTACTATCAATCTATATATATTTAGTTGTCTTTGTTTGTGTTTGTACCATCTTTTTTTTTTTTGGGAGGTTGGGAGGAGGGGAGAGGGGGGAAGGGGGCTTGAACGCTTGACTTCAAGAAGATAAAGCCTTCATAAGGTAAGGAGGATCATTTGACCAAAGGCCCATTGGTTTTGTGTTTATGTTCCCAAGTTTTTATGCAAATTTTTTTCCCGGATTTTGTATCATGTGCTATAAATGGTGTTTGGATTTGTGTTTATTCCACTGATGGGTAATTAGAAATTGATGCGTATTGGTAGTTATCTCACACTTCAATGCCATTTGGTGGGTGAAGGATAGCTGATTCAGTAGGAGAAATTTTGAACGGCCTGCGATGTTACTTTGACAAATCATTGCCTGCAATGCTCCTGTACAAAAGTGAGCGTCAGCAATACCAGGAAATTGAAGATAATGTCTCTCCTTCAATAGTATATGGAGCTGAACATTTATTACGGCTCTTTGGTAAGTTCATAGTTATGCGGGGCAAAAGCTTATTAAGCACACTGCTTCATATATGGGAGACCAATCAAATTATATCATTTATGATCATTGATAGAGCTTTCTCATTTTGTAAGATACTGTTATAGCACTTGGATAGTTGGAAGTTTCTTCCACTGTTTAATGTATTATGTGGTTTCCAATTTCCTCGTCTTTTTAGGTTGTTAGAACATGTATAGTCTATAGAGCAGCTTTCTTTCCTTAGTTTTCAGTATGTATCGAACAATCAATTGGGGTGATTTGTCAAATCTCATTGTAGAATTTGATATCATTCTAGTCATGTGATTTTACACCCTTCGAGAGTTTTAGTATGTGTAGATAGCTGATATTGAAAATACCCAGGATTCATAAAGTTCTGTTCTAAGATACTGTGAAAAAGCCACTAATAGTTTGTGGATGTACAAGTCCTTTTTCACGAGTGATTTATGATATTATGATGTATCTGTCCACGCAGATTTTCCTTTTTCCTTTTTTCTTTTTCCTTCTCTTCTCTTCTGTTTTTTTTTTTTTTTTTTTTTTTTTTTT